CAAACTCTCAGTATGCCACATGGCAGCTGGCAGGTGGCTGCCCCGCACCACAGCACAGCACAACCACCCGCCACATGGCAAAAGCGTGTAACCATAAAGAAATTATAGCTGCGATAGTTGCCAACGTTATCGATAATTCAATTTTGTGCATTATTTTGGCGCTGCTCTGATGCCCTGCCATTATAAGCATAAATAAATGTGTCCTAAGGCGGGCCAGCACACACACACACACACACATGCACACATTGAAATGTGTTTCAGCCATTTGCATGCAGTATAAGCCACGTTGGATGCTTTGGTTTTGGTTGGCTTTTGCCAGCTCTTTAATTTTATTGTCTGTTGGTTGCGTTTTGGCATTTTGTGTTGCTGTTGCTGTTGTTGTTGTCGTTGTTGCTGTTGGCTGAAATACGACAACGTTGCACTTGTCTATACACTTTCAGCACACTTTTTCCCCAACCATTTCTTCTGCTCGCTGCTCACTCGCCGTCGTCGTTTCGTTTCTTTTCTTTTTTCAAGGGAACGCAAGGCGCTTGAATTAAGGGCAACGACGCGACGTACGGTGTGCGCCGTAAATAGATTTTGCCTGTTATTGTTCAGAAAATGATTTAGGGAAAATTAGGTTTATGTAAATAATGAAAAAAGAGCTCGCTGCAGGCCTTTTTCCACAATATCCTGGCATGCATGACCTTAGTAGTATCGTTAGTATCTAAATAAATGTGCATGTTCATGTGTCGGCCTGAGTTTTGCGTGTCTGTGTGTGTGTGTGTGAGGGCTGGTTGGTTGTGAGTGTGTGTGTGTGTATGTGTGTGATCAATTTCAACTCTCATACCAAAGCACACAAAGTCTTAAGGCCATATTGAAAAATTAAAGCACAAAACATATTCTTACTTTCTTGGGGGGTTGATTTCAATTGTAAACAAAATGTAGAACTCAGTTAATATATTTTATAAAAGCCTTTTTACATTCATTATGGGATCAAGCCTTAACAATTGCTTTAAGTGAGCCAAAAGTAGGTAGACTTTTGATACAGGTTAAAGAGTAGCTAATTGAATGAATGAATGAATTAAAAGGTGCTAAATAGAAATACTCGAATCACGAACTCTGAGTGAATGAACTCGATCGTTAATAGGTTTTGAGACTCTAGATGCGGGCTATATTTCATAGAATGACAAAAACTAGGCCTACAGCACACACATTCTAGATAGATGATATAATATGTGCCGAGATGATGCCTAGATCGCAATGCGAATCAGAACTACATGATGAAATGGCAAATATGATTCATTGAGCGTGTGGCGCCATTTCATCATGCATGGTCGAAGTGAGGCGTACGGGGAGCACCGTCACTGATAACGATGGTGCTTAACTGAAAAGTGCAGCACGTTTAGTCATAGCTGGTATATTTATATACTTTATTTACAAATTAGTTTGCGTTTGATTTGAGAGCTTTTCCTATATATCTTACAACAGCTTTTAACAATTCAATGTTCAACAAAACTTTAATTATGCATTATGAATCTAATTTGGGGCATATTCATTGTTTATTCTTTTCATTAAGGTTAAAATTATTATCCCTTATTGACGCTGCTGTTATCTATTGATTTATGATTTTAACAACCTATGACAAATTTATAGTTCTGAATTCTCGGCGCTTGTTTTCTTTATCTGAGCAAACTGTGTATACATGTATGTATATACAATATAGTGATATGGCATGTATGCGTATATAAAAGAACAGTTAGCTGCTGTACATAAATTTGTCCATTTAGAGGGAGCATATTTTTCGCCACGCACGCAGTTTTGCATATTTATTATTTATTTATTTTAGCGCACAAACAATAACTCACACTGACAGCCAATTAATCAGAATTGGACATTCAATTAAATTGCAAAATAATATCACAGTGAAAATGAACGAAATTTAAATGTATATGTAAATAATGCCCGCAGCAAAATATGCTCCAATATTATTATAGGCAAATTTAATGCAACAACAATTATTTTTTTCTTTCTTTGGATTTTGTTGTGTTATACATGAGCATGAACTCAGCCCACCTCAGTCCAACAGAGTTTGCATAATGAATTGTAGGCTTGTATTTAAATAAACTTTAAATTATGCTGGCATATAGAAACAGAGTGAAATGGGAAATGGGAAATGGGTACATCAAACCTGATGGGATAGGCCATGGCTTTGTCATTGCAACGTGCGGCCTAATTAACTTGGTAACACGCAAAAAGACCTTTAAAAATATGTTTACATAAAATTGAAGTGGAAAAGCGTGTAAAGAGCCGGAGCCAAAAAGGGAGCAAAAAATAAAAAAAAAGCTGAGAGAGAAGCAAAACAAGAAACGTAACGAAATATGCAGATGGGTTAATGTGCAGAGAAAACTGCGCTGGGAAACGAAGAAAATACAGCAAGAGAAAAATACAAGCAAAGCGAAAACTGTGTCAAACGTCAACGACTTCATCGATGTTGTTGTTGTTGCTGTTGTTGTTGCTGTTGTTGTGGCTCTTTCTGGATTTTCATGGCTGGGGTAAATTGTGCGAGTCAACATTAATGCGCTAAATTAGCTTAGAATGGACAGCGAGTTGCCTTTTTGGGGCTGCGTCGCGACAGTTATATTCATTTTTATGCCCCCCAACCTGTGAATTCCGTTCCAGAAGGGGTGTCATAGTTTCGAGCAACACTATGTAACAGAGGCAGGTCTAGAGTAAGATTAACAGCGAAACTAATTATTACTGACATCTGCTTGAAAATCAATCGATGAAAGATCCGCAGCTCAAATAAATTTAATCTGTTTTAACTTATTTAATTCATAATGAAATTAATGATGATAATTTTTAATATACTCTATTTTTTTTTTTTTTTTTTAATATGGCTATCTCGCTCTGCCACTACCATAAATTTTATATATATTGTTTTTAATTTTTAATATTTTTTATTTTATTTTATTATTATTATTTATTTATTTTTTTTTATGAATGCTTTGCATAAAAACGAATTTTTTTCAATTAAATGTAATATTTGTTTTTACTTTTAATTTTTTATTTAATTTTATTAAATCTCTTGTTTGGCTTGCAACTATTTTTTTTTTTTAATTTACATTTTATGAATAATACTTATTATTATTTTAAATTTTGTAAATTAATATTTAACATTATGACTAATTTACATTCAATAAAAATCCTATATTTTATTTTATTTTTTTATGTTTTTAATTTTTATTTAATTCTTTTAAATTTTATTTTATACTTTTTTTTCAATGAATAGGTTATATTAGGATGAAATATGATTATTGCATTATTCTAAGCCATATACCAGATTGTTCATCCATGCAGCATTAATGATCGAGTTTTATGATTCACCAACAGAGCTTAGGGTAACTCTCAGTCAGGCACTGTTGAGCGCACTAACTTGTTTTACTTTTAATTGGCAGTTAACATGGGGGGTTAAGTGAAAAAGCGTTCAGCTTTTGTCCGTCTGCCAGCGACGACATTTAGATTGTGACCCACTTGATGCGAAATAACCGAATAGTCAGTGTCATATGTAATGCCTATTTTTGGGTACGCCGCTCTGCTAGCGATACGAGCTGTCACCCATTTATGACTTGGACTTATGTTCAAAGTTTTGTAAACAAGACTGATTGCATAAATACATACATATATACAAGTATACATATTGGATTGCGATAAGAGCTTGTAGGCATGCCTAGATATACAAGTACGCTCTGCGTCATTGTCAATGGAATTGGCAGGCGGCAAAAGAAGAGCGATCGAATCGTAAAGATACAATAGCTACAAGATACGAATTTCTGTTCGCGCCGCTTTAATTGTGTATGCAGGTGTGCTCTGCATTTCCTAGCACTTCCCAATTATCTGGACTTTTCTATATGGCAACAGCAACAACAGCAATCATAAAACAGCAGGTAAATTTAGTCAAGTATAGAGGGCATTCGAAAGAAAGCTTACCTAGCATTAATTACCTAGGCCCGCCAGAGCTGTGAAATGGTATATGAGAAGCACAGCCCCAAAAAAACCTTCGTGAAAGTTTCGAAATACATTCAAACGGCATATGCATTACTTGAACCACAAAGTTGAAGATCAAAGCCAACAAGCTTACACGAATGATCGCATTGTTTCACCTGCCACTTAATATTCCGATTCGTATGAAGCAACTGGCTAGACGGACTTGGAGATACTCTACATACTATATATCAAGCAAGATCTATGTCTGTATCTCCTAGGCTGACTTGGAGATACTCTATATATGTGGTATACTCTATGTAATATCCACTGTATGTATGTTGAAGGTGCTCTAAGCTGGCTAGACTGACTAGGAGATACTCTATTCTATTCTATGCATGCAACACTCGTTATAAATATGTTTATTTCATAAAAAGATCTCGACAACTAGGAAAGCAGACTAACTTAACGGCTGTCGTAATTAATTTGCCATGTTTGCTTAAGCTTTCAGCTTTTAGCCAAGTGCACATTTCGTATTGTGTTACGCTTTGGAAAATGATCTATGAGAGTCCAGTGCTTCAGCTGCCTGCTGATATCATTAACATGATAAGATAAATCAGCGCAAATTCAAAACTTCTAGAATTGTCGGTTGCGTCAGTTTATGTTGTTGCTGTTGTTGTTATTGCTGTTACTCTGCAGTTCTATAGTTTCCCCGAACGGAGAGCGCAAGAGCGCAAGAGTTTCTGACACGTCTGCCCCCAACCCCATCGACAACAATCTGCAGTAAAGCGGCAAAACAATAAATGAGAGCACGCACACACACACACACACACTTAGTGTGATAGAGAGAGAGAGAGAGCGTGCGGCACGGCACAGCGAAAGAGATTGAGCGTGGAAAGTGCAAAGAGCGCGTTTATTTCGTTCTGTTTTATAATTAAACATGTGAGGTTAGGAATATTGTGAAAAAAGTCGAAACTATTTATTAAGGGGCGTCGAGTGTGTGGCACTGAGGTGCAATTGCTATTGATTATACGTACCTTTGAGCCAATCTGATTGCCGCATTGGCCGGCCTGCAGGTGCACTATTTCTCTCATATTGTCAGGGGCTCTGAGACTTTGGCAAAGGTCAGGTCGCTGTTAATTCGGCTTGAAAGATGTGTATGCACAGAGTATCGCACACGCACTTACACTAACACACGCACACAAAAGCAGCTGCACACACAAAAAGCGAGGGAAACGGGGTGTGAGTTATTCGAAACGCTCTGGGTACGGATTATACTATGAGTGATCGTCGCGCTCGCGTCAAGATTCCAACGTGCACTGAAAACGGCCGCAGCTACAAATAGTGAGCGAGCCCCGGGAGCGAGGCAGCGGGCTGTGTCAGCGTTAGTTGCCTCTTTCCCATGCCGTGCGGCGGGCGGGGAGGCAATGGAAAGAAGCAGCGGCAGAGCGAGAACGGGAGGCAATTGCTTAGAATTGTAGCGGCAGCTGATAAAGCGCTAATGCAGACGACAAGCTGTGTGTAGCTCGCAGCAGAGGCAGAGGCAACAACTACCGCCACAACAACAACAATAACAACAACAACAACAACAGCACTATTAATGAATGATGAACATAAAAACTGACTGGAATTGTGGCGTAGCGCCGGCAGGTTTGTGGAGGCATTTTCATTGCTGCTGTGCTGTGGTTTGGTTAGTGTTACTTGTTTTCGTCTTCTGCCCTGCTCCTCTCGCTGCAGCAGCGGCGCGGCACGCGGTCTCCCTCGCTCTCTTGCGTTCGCAATGCATGGCTACGCACTGGAAGATTCGATGTGGCGAAAGAGAATGCAACAGTTGGAGCTCTTGGGAACGATGTGGAAGACTGAATGCCAGAGCGCGCGATTGAGGAAAAGAGAGCAGCGCAAAGAGCGCAGAGAGCTAAGCATGAGACGAAGAATGTCTGGTCATGAGCATGTATGCGCTTTGAGTGTGAGGCATTTTGATTCAGCTCTAGGTTTTGCATTGACTGTTAGGTTCTCACAAACGAAAAGGCTGAATACTAGAACGTGGCATTCTTTGCTTTCTTTTGGTGTCGGAAGAGAAAGGAAATGACTTGTACAAAAGAAAACCTGTCTCACTGGAACGTGTTTTGTAAATAACATAATAGTTTTCTATTTGCTTTTATTTTTGGGTATTTAAAGCCGATTTCAAGATTATTATTTCACGGTTCACAAATTTATAAAAAGTTCTTTGGGTAGGGGGGGTAGGGGTAGGGGTACCCCTGGTACCCCTGGTATTCATAGCATATATATATGTAAAGTATTTTTTTTTTTTTTTTTTTAAACTTCTTTGAAGTCTGTAACTCTTTATATTAAAGTTGTTTCATTAAAAAGTCAATAATAAAGATATACGAGATTTATCTTTACCAAATAACTAAGGCTTTTTAAGTCAAACCTCAAGTTTTGCATTAATGTGTAAAAATAAAATATCATATACATATTTTTTTTATTACGGACTAAGTATTAAAATATTTATCTATTTAATTTTCAAATCGATAGCAAAAAAAAGTTTATATTTTACTGTAGATTCTTTCTATAGACTACAACTCTTGCCTTCCAATATTTAAATGAAAGAATGTTTTGATTTAGCTAGTGAAATATAGTAGGGTATACACACATTCTTAGTTCTCAGTCCCTCATTGAATAGTCTGCTTCCAAATTTAATAAATATATGTATTATTAATTTTGAAAATATTAATAGCTAACACATAGCTATTAGGGGTCCATTTGATATAAACAAATAAATAAATATAGATATTCTTGTGTATAAAAATAGTTTGTTTTCGTCATACATTAGTTATTTATATTTGCACATATCCGCAATGGTTTCATTAATGAAATCCTGATAGTAATAGACGCTCATGAAGACGTTGGGCAAGACGCGATTGCTGCACTGCTAAGTCCACGTGCCAATGCCACAGAGCTCGCCAGAGTCATCGTTGCAGAGGATGCGGGCGCAGAGCGGCGGGTAGTGGACAGTGAACCTTGTATAGGGAGGGTGTTTAATGTCGGCTATGAACCCAGTTTTCTTATACCTCGAGTGGATCTTCAGCTTGAATATGGTATTTTTCGAGTTCTCTGCGGGAAAGTACGTTTTCAGCTCCGTCTCGGCGGTGACCTCGTGATATTTGGTGTAGTCCGCCGTTGCTGCGAAGCAGTGAGCCGCGGTCACAATATAAAGTGAGCTGACTGCCTACATATTAGCTTATGCCGTTGGGCAAGACGCGATTGCTGCACTGCTAAGTCCACGTGCCAATGCCACAGAGCTCGCCAGAGTCATCGTTGCAGAGGATGCGGGCGCAGAGCGGCGGGTAGTGGACAGTGAACCTTGTATAGGGAGGGTGTTTAATGTCGGCTATGAACCCAGTTTTCTTATACCTCGAGTGGATCTTCAGCTTGAATATGGTATTTTTCGAGTTCTCTGCGGGAAAGTACGTTTTCAGCTCCGTCTCGGCGGTGACCTCGTGATATTTGGTGTAGTCCGCCGTTGCTGCGAAGCAGTGAGCCGCGGTCACAATATAAAGTGAGCTGACTGCCTACATATTAGCTTATGCCGTGTGTAGATCTGCTGATAGGTTTTTCCCTACCTCCATATATTCTAGTGCCAAAAAGAGGCCTTTCTGGTAGTTCAGCTTTAGTCAGACACACGATAGATGAAGTTATAAAAGCTGTTAAACAAATCATTTTCAATTGAGCCGAGACTCTGAAGAAATACAGAAATATATATTTAAGCTG